TTTCTGGCGGCCAGTCTAAAATTCTTTCAGTTAGAAGCATCTGCCGAAAAAACCGAGGCCGGTAGCAACAAAAACTGCGGGGAACTCTGCAAAAACGCATCTTCGCACGGGCAGCCCGTGCGTTGGCCATTTTTCTGTTTTTGCACACCTGGAACGGTCAATTTGCCAGCGATCTGGAGGTTCGCTTCGCGGTACTCTAGTGTGGCATATTTACTAGCGAAAGTACTTAAGAAGGATCCACCCTTTGTTGAGTTCTTCAAATTAGCATTTTTCGATGAACGATCCTTCACCGAAAAAACGATCGGGTTTCATACAAAAAATTGATAATCGTGCACGCTGTAGATTCACGCGACCCTATGATGCAACATTACCATCCCAGCCCGTATACAAGAAAGCAGTAAAACACAGCCGATATATGTCCACGTGCTATACTGCAACTCATGAACCAATCGTGCTTTTAATAATCTGACCGCCATAAGTTTAGCGCAAAAACGCATGATCGCACCGGCAAGCCTGGTGCATTCCAGCTTGGGTTTAAGTGATACTTTGATGTCAAAAAATAGTTTTATGTGATAATTTTATGGTAAAAAAAGGAATGCGGAATAATAATTTCTCCATATCAGAAGTAGCGGCTCTCTTAAAGAGTGATTTCGGATTAGAGTTTTCAAATTATTAGACATACTGTTGTGCATTTTGATCTTAATTTATCCTGCAGGCAATGGTTGGAAGTACAGAATCTGCGGCAAAAACGTTTCAAAAAGAAGAAAATTGATCGGAAAGCTTCCAAAGGTCGCAAAATACGTTACGTTGTGATACCACAGCTAGTGAATTTTTTCCCCTCAGTACCAGAAACTGTAAAATGGAGCCACGAAAGCAGAAATCAACTCTTTAAATCTCTCTTTACATGAGAATTGGTACTTGAACGGCTCCTGGTTCACCGCTGATCCATATTCGGAATGTTTTAACTACACCATCGACTTCCTCGAGCTCTTCGCATTCACAGCATACCACATTTGTCTCATGGAATGGCCTACTTTCGCCTTCCAATATTGTGGATAGCTCAGTCGTTAATTTGTTTCGCACATTTGTTGCCTGTCATCCTTACCAAGTTCCTTTTTACAGCGCAAAAATTGATTGTTACAGTTTTGTAGTGTGTAAAACATATGCAGAAACTAAAAAAAAAACATTTTTTATAAAACGCAAAAACATCTTGAAAGCCTAACATTCGTACAAGTAGTAATATGGGTAGTCAGTGATTTACTCAGTGATGCCTAGTTTCGCATAGTAGTAACAAGTAAAATTTTTTCTGATGAAAAACAATGAATTTTCCACATAGGCGAAGTTCGCTAGGGCCCCCTTGTATAATGGTACCAACCGGGGATAGGGACCGATATGTTTGGAAAAAACTCTTCCACGTACACAATTGAAATTGAACATGAACGACTAACGTGGATTGTTGATTTCAAGCGTTTTTACCTCCTTTCAGCTTAATGAGGAAACTTGGATTTTCTCAGTTCCTTTCCGAATTGCTGAAGATCTCGAAAATCATGTGATTAACCCAAACTTGTTAGACTTTCCTCGTCATGTCAAAAGAAAAATTCCCGTCGTTTTCACTCACAAAAGGAGGCAGAAAAACTCGGGAATAAGTGGAGAGTAGTAAGTATTAGCAGCAGTCACCCGCTAGCATGGATGTTGGTGGCTCCCTTTTTGGAATGTTGTTTGAAAGCAAACTGGTGTCGGATTTCACTCGCTCGCACATTCCAGTACTAATTTACCATCAAAACGTAGAGGGGTTGGTTATCCAAGTTTGGGTATAAGTTTAAAATTTCTTTGGTTTGTTAGCCGAGTTTTCAGGTCTTCCATTGTCGAAGATGGGTAAAAGAGCTGCACTAATTGCGCTTGGGTGATGTTCATTGTATTTTAAGGAGGTGGAAAGCTAGGAAAGCATTTCGGTCTTCCGAGAAAGTGACTTTCATTTTGAAGACAAATTGAGGTAATTCCTCTGTTTGAGTGAGGAAATAAGTTCAGTTTTAAATACAATACATTATACTTCGCCAGAAGCTTCAAAAGCTTCACAGATCAATAGTACCCGAATTCACGAAACCGAAAAAAGTGGACACGGAGGAAGGGAGTGGACACTATACAAACGTCTCCTCCACATTCCGTAGGGGTTCGATACTTGCGAATTCCACATAGCAACGATTTGTTGGCCGCAAATAATCGGCTGTTATTTCGTGATGTTTTGTCGCCAGGCACAA